CACCCACAGTGCTGCGTTTTAAAGCGATAGTTCATCAAAACATCAAATTGCCCCCATTTTTCCCACTTAGCCCAGATAATCAGCCAAGCCGTGTTTGGTGGCTGAATGTTGCTCCTTTAGTTTTAACGCTGGAGCTACGAGGCTAATGTAGCTAACTGGTAAAGGAGGGCTTATACACCACCGATTAGCATGGTGCTAACTGCCTGCCTAAATCATCACACACTCGCCTCAAACGTGTTAGTGAAGTTGGCTTCCGATTCACCGACTTTCTAACAGACATTTTCTATTCCACTTTACACAGTGCAGCAGTTACTCCTGCACCATTTAAGGTGGAATGGAGAATCTGAATAAAAGGCTGCTGAATAGAAAGAAAACTTCCTGTAGACCTCTAACAGATTTACAGATTTGATTATGTGGTCAAACTGTCTGTACTTCAGTCCATACAGTTAGCACCATGCTAACTGGCTGCGAATTAGCCACATTAGCCTCTTAGCTGCAGTGTTAAAACTTCAGACCCAAAACACGTAGACTACATTTGACCAGAGGGGCTAAAACTGTGAAACTGATTCTTCCTCTGAACTATCGCTTTAACTGTGTGGGACTGGAGCTGGAGTGGTGCAGAACACAGTGTGAGAAATGTGAAAATAGCTGCTGTTCTTCACCGACGCCTCAGATTCAGTGTGGAGGCAGAAACCCAGCAGCCTGCCAAAGCTTGAACACAGTGAGCAGAAAGACTCTTACAGAGAGATTTAACTCTGGAGCTTCACCAACTCAGAACTCTGTCTTTTGTCTCATTCTTGTTTTAGATGCTGTTTGTGGGAATTCGGGGGCACCTTGACTTCTTTAGATCATTTCCTTGAAATATGTCTTATCTTTGATGGCTTCATGCACTGAAGCAGATGTTTGCTTTGATATTATGTCACAGCTTGTGTAGTAAAAGTACCAAGTACCACCTTAGCAATCACCTGGGATAACATAGCAATGACCTAGCAACACCTTATCAATCACCTGGGATAACATAGCAACAGCCTAGCAACACCTTATCAATCACCTGGGATAACATAGCAACAGCCTAGCAACACCTTGTGAATCACCTGGGATAACACAGCAACAGCCTAGCAACACCTTATCAATCACCTGGGATAACATAGCAACAGCCTAGCAGCACCTTGTGAATCACCTGGGATAACACAGCAACAGCCTAGCAACACCTTAGCAACCACCTAAGATAACACAGCAACTGCCTAGCAACACCTTATCAACAGCAACAGCCTAGCAACACCTTATCAATCCCTGGGATAACATAGCAACAGCCTAGCAACACCTTATCAATCACCTGGGATAACATAGCAACAGCCTAGCAACACCTTATCAATCACCTGGGATAACATAGCAACGACCTAGCAACACCTTATCAATCCCTGGGATAACATAGCAACAGCCTAGCAACACCTTATCGATCCCTGGGATAACATAGCAACAGCCTAGCAACACCCTAGCAAACCTATCACAGCAACAGCCTAGCAACCTTATCAATCCCTGGGATAACATAGCAACAGCCTAGCAACACCTTATCAATCACCTGGGATAACATAGCAACAGCATAGCAACACCTTAGCAACCACCTAAGATAACACAGCAACTGCCTAGCAACACCTTATCAACAGCAACAGCCTAGCAACACCTTATCAATCCCTGGGATAACATAGCAACAGCCTAGCAACACCTTATCCATCACCAGGATACCATAGCAATGGCATAGCTCCACCTTAGCAACCACTGGGAATTACTAATTAATTACTAATTAATCCAGTTAAGATTCCAAAAACAATCAACCGCCGTCTTCAACTACTTTAACTTCTCAACTGTACTGACAGCGAATCTAAAGTTTGTTCCTTTTCTCGTTTAAATTTCTTTTTGGCTCTGAAAATGAGTAGAAAATGTGGAATCATGCTAAAATGTAAACAATTATGATGCATTGAATCATTTCCTAAAGAATCATAAATTAATAAAATTAAATCATCATGAAATGCAATTAGTTGCCTAAAGAATCAAACTGAATCATAGTGAAATTGAGATGTGTATTGAATCGTTCCCTAAAGAATCATAAAAGAATCGAATTGTAGTGAAATTTAAAATTTTGTATTGAATTGTTTACTGAAGAATCTCGACTGAATCATTTCCTGAAGAATCGTAATCAGACTGAATCAGTCTGCAGAGCGCTGGTGGGGATGTTCAGTGTTTTGTATTGTGTAACTTTCAGATCACACAGACGCTGCAGTGCTGCGGTGACAGAGCGTTTGACTCTCTGAGTCCAGTGATGTAACCAATGGACAGATCGTACAGGTCACTCCTGCCTTCTGTAACCGGTCAGTCTCAGGGTCAGATTATCGGAAACAGCTTTAATACTCATCACAATCAGAGTCAAACCACAAATCAGCAGCTCCTGTCTGTCCTGCTGAGCTGTTAGAGCTGATTCACCCCTCAGTGCAGTAAAATAACACTGAGTCAAAGAAATTATGACTCAAAAAGAAGCACAAGTGGCCGTTAGAGCTGCACGATATACCGATTATTAACCGATATCCTGATATTCACCGAAAACTGCACTGTACAAACCTAACCAATCAGTGTGAGCTGTGAGCATCCTGACCAATCACAGCTCCAGAAGAGCTTCTGTGGGGCTGTTTTGATTAATCTGAAATTTCATTATGCACTAAATTGTTTCCTAAAGAATTATTATTGAATCATCATAAAATGTAAGAGTTCTTGATGTGTTGAATCATTTTCTAAAAAACTGCGATGAAATCAAACCAAACTGTTCTACCATTTAAAACTCCCTGATTCATGAATTGTTTTCTAAAGAATCTAATAGAATCTAATAGAATCTAATAGAATCGTCATGAAATTTGAGATTTCTCAATGAGTTGAATCTTTTCCTGAAGAATCATAACTGAATCAACTCAAACTGTCACTAATTTTTTAATTTTATGATGCATCGAACTGATTCCTAAAGAAACATAATTGAATTAAATTAAATCATCGAATCTATTTCAATTTCATGACGCACTGAACAATTTCCTGAAGAATCATAATTGATTTGAATCGAAACTTCAAACTTTATGATACAACAAAGCTTTATGAGTCGTTTCCTGAAGAAATCCAATCAGACCATGCTAACATTTTACAACTTATGATGCACTGAATCATTTCCAGAAGATTTGTGATTGAATCGTCATGAAATTTGAAATTTTCCGATTAACTGAATCGTCTGCCAAACAATTTTAATTGGATCAGATTGAATCATGGTGAAATCTGAGATGATACACTGAATTGTTTGATGAAGAAGCGTAATCTAATTGAATTGTGGTCAAATTGAATGTTATAATGAATTGTTATAATGCACTGAATCGTTTCCTAAAGAACCTTGATCAAACTGAATTGCTGACTGACACACTGCGATGCCTACAGACCACTAACTGGGGATGTTTAGTGTTTTGTATGATGCCCTGAATCATTTCACCAAGAATCTTGATTGAAATTAATAGAATCTAATTGAATTGTGGTCAAATTTGAAACGTTAAAATGCGCTGAATCGTTTCCTAAAGAATCACAATAAAACTGAATTGTTGATTTAGACTTCTGATCAGTGTTCGCACCTACAGAACGTAGATTACCTGGGATTTTGTATTGAGTAACTCTGTACTGAGTGTGCTGATTACACACGTTTATGGGTCATTCTACAGAAACGTCCACTTTTCTGTCTCTCCATAGGAGTCACTGGTGTTACTGGTCCTCATTGGTGTTCCACATAATAAAGACATTTTTAATGAACAATGCATTTTGGAATGGCTGCTACAGAACATCGGCTCACAGTCGGTCACACCAGTCGGTAATCTCTGAGAACTGAAAGACTCAGTGGACTCACCATGTGCTTTTCTTCATAGATCCTCAGAAAACAGGTAAAAGGAAGTTGAGTGATGTCATCAGTGTGACTTTTATTTCAAAATAAGAGATTTTCTGTTACGCGGTAACACCAGTGACACGACTCCTGGGGACAACTTTCATTATATATTTTATAATATTTATTTGGCATTTGTTTTCTTTATGTGATTTAATTTGTATATTCCATAGTCATGTATAGATTATTGCAGTTAAAATTGCAGAAAAATGTGTTTTTTTCTTCAGAATATGGCCTCAGCCTTTACATGACTGTGGGGACGAGCTCTTCTGTGGTGCTTGGACTTCTATATGATTGATTTAAAAACCTATGTTGCTAAATTGAGGCTCAAGAACGTGTAATTGTTAAAATAACTTATTGTTTTATTTTAAAATATAAATAAATTGTAACCCTAACATGATTTTGAAGTGTATTATATCTGTAAATGCTAGGGACACAGAAATGGACGTTTCTGTAGAATGACTATTATTCTGTCTATATTGTCTAATGCATATGAGAACCCAGAGAACAGCCCAGAGAGAGAGCCCAGAGAGAGAGCTCAGAGAGAGAGAGAGAGAGAGAGAGAGAGAGAGAGAGAGAGAGAGAGAGAGAGAGAGAGAGAGAGAGAGAGAGAGAGAGAGAGAGAGAGTGTAAACATGACAGTTTTGCGAGCGTTTGAAATCTCACAGCGCCACTTTGCGGCGGTACCGCATTTATTTGAAGATCTCTAGGCATACTAATCGACATGTAGTCGATAACCTCAGATGTGGGTCTCATTGTAGATTTTTTAACCTAAACGTTCCCAAAAATGTCGAGACTTTAATGTTTTAAGTGCTTGTAAGCAGCAATAAAACTCTGAAAACGGACAGGGGATTCTTCTCAGTCCTACCTGCACAACATATTTATTACACACATTATTGTCAACATCGTGGATGGAATACTCGACTAATAACACGAACCAGCACTTCATAAACATGAATGCGTGGAGCTTCAATATAACTTTTTTATTTTAGTATTTTAACACGACAGTGTGGATGCGAATCTGCAGCTCGGCGCTCTGTTAGTTCTGTCTGCGTTGCGGAAGCGGAGCTGCGCGATGGAGCTGTGCGAGATTTTATACAACAAAGCGGAATATATAGAGACCGTACGTACAGATTAACCTGTCCTATACATTACAGACCATATACGGGCATCGCTTAATGCAGATTCACTGATTAATAACTAATATCTGACCGCAGCGCCTGGATTTAGCGCGATATGCTAAAGCTAAAGCTAAAGCAGAGCCGCTCCCTCTCAGTTCAGCTCCGAACTGAACCCGTTTTACTGTTTAATCTGATTTAAATTCATTATTTCAGCTTCAGCTGCACTAAAACTCCGGATTCAGCGCCAGAGGGTCAAACCTTTATTAATGACGCAGGAAACACGAGTCTGTGCGGAATAACAGAGGTGCGGATGTAAACACTGAGAATAAAACCCTCAGAAATAAAATATCTGCAGATATTCAGACATTTACAGCGTCTAATACTGACATTCTACAGGACCAGAACACAGCACTGCGGAATAACGGACCAGGCAGAATTCAGCTAGAACAACAGATGATGAGAGGAATTTACATCACTGGAAATCATATAGTAATCTTATAGCCTCATAGTATACACTTAAAAAAGATGGTTCTTCAAGGGTTCTTTAGTCAAGAAAATGGTTCTAAACAGAACCATGAGTTCTGTGTAGACTCGTTGCATGCTTAAATGGTTCTTTGCATGGTAAAATGGTTCTTCATATTGATAGAGAATGTGCTGTAGATGGTTCCATATAGAGCCAAAAGGGCTCTGCTGTTGTTACAATGTCAAGCTTGTGACAATAGAAGAACTCTTTTTGGGGTTCTAAATAGAGCCATACACATTCTCCATCAGTCTGACGAATGATTTAGGCACGCAAATGGTTCTATATAGAACATTTGCCTTTACTAAAAGATTCTGTACAGGTTCTACATATAACATTGCCTTTACTAAAGAACCTTTACATAATCATCTTTTTTAAAACTTCTTAGGAACGGCAGTGGTTCCTTTTAGAACTATGAGTTCTGTATAGAACCATTTCATGCTTCAAACCATTAACATTCTCCCATCAATTTGAAGAACCATTTGAGCGTGCAAAAAAAGATGGTTCTTTAAGGGTTCTTCAGTAAAGAGAGTGTATATAGAACCATTTAATGCTGAAATGGTTCCTTGCATGGTGAAATGGTTCTTCAGATTGATGGAGAATGTGTTACTGTTCTGTATAGGATCCAAAAGGGTTCTATTGTCACAATAGAAGAACCCTTCTTGGTGGTGTATAGAACGGGTTCCATATAAAACCATATACAACACATTCTCCATCAGTCTGCAGAACTGTTTCACCATGCAAGGAACCATTTAAGCATGCAAATGGTTCTATAAAGAACTTTAAGTAGAACTTTGTCTGTACTAAAAGCCCTTTAGTAAGTATGTATGTATAGTATTACTATAGATCAGCACTTTAAGGGGAAACTATATTAATAAGTTTACACAGTAAATAAACTACATTTCTCCGCTAATAATGATAAATACAGCAACACCTGAAGCACTAAAATGATGGTTTTACTGCCTAAAAGAAGACCAGCGGATATGATTTCTGGTCTGAGACTTGAACTGTAAACACAGAGCCAGTTATTCATGGTTGTGATGTCACAGCAGTTCACAAGCTCCAAGTTATTAGGCCAAATTTCCCTACTTAAAATTTGCATTGTCTCAGTGTTGTTGATATTAGACAGTAAGACTAATAAAATCGCAGCTCTTGAAAATGAAAAATGCACTTGATATTCATCGCGATTGACCTGTCAGCTTTTTTAAAGCTTTAATCTGAGTTTTTACTGAAGTGGTCTGATGTGTAAGAAACGATGCAGTAAGGTTTATGTTCACTCACGTTTCCGTCTGTCCTCCAGGCGTCGGGTAACAAAGTGAGCAGGCAGTCTGTTCTCTGCGGGAGCCAGAACATCGTCCTGAATGGAAAAGTAAGACTCGCTGCTCTTCTGGTTCCTCTTCATCACTGGGGTTCTCTACACGCCTGTAATGCTCTGTAACGTCGTCTCCTCTCTTTCAGACGATCGTGATGAACGACTGCATCATCAGAGGGGATCTCGCTAACGTCCGAGTCGGGAGACACTGCGTTATTAAAAGCCGGAGTGTCATCAGGCCGCCGTTTAAAAAGTTCAGCAAAGGGTGAGTTCGTTTAACATCGCTATAGATACATATCTACAGTGTGAAACCCCCCCTGGTGTTCGGGGGTCCCGTGTTGTCTGGCTGCTAACTCTCTCTCTCCACAGCGGCGCTGATGATTCAGTGTCAGTAAATGTTTGTTTTATCAGCTGTTCTTCTGTAGAGTCTCTGTTCTAGTGCGGTTCTGCGCTCTTCCTCACACTAACTGAGATCTTCCTTGTCTCCTCTTCTGTAGAGTCTCTGTTCTAGTGCGGTTCTGCGCTCTTCCTCACATTAACTGAGATCTTCCTCGTCTCCTCTTCTGTAGAGTCTCTGTTCTAGTGCGGTTCTGCGCTCTTCCTCACACTAACTGAGATCTTCCTCGTCTCCTCTTCTGTAGAGTCTCTGTTCTAGTGCGGTTCTGCGCTCTTCCTCACAGTAACTGAGATCTTCCTCGTCTCCTCTTCTGTAGAGTCTCTGTTCTAGTGCGATTCTGCGCTCTTCCTCACAGTAACTGAGATCTTCCTCGTCTCCTCTTCTGTCTTCAGTGTGAGAAATGAGGAACAGTCACTCTTCACTCCAAACTCTTGGGAAACTGGGCGAGTTTTCAGATTTACAGATCTGCTGCAGCTCATTGTAAAGCTTTTCAGAGGAATCCGGGCAGAGTTACAGTTTCTAGGCTATGAAGGACCAACTGGGTGAACCAGTCTGCTACAGCGCCACCCTGAGGCAGAGCAGTGCTGCAGCTCTAGTTAGTTAGGAACACCAGAGACAGAAGCTGATTGTGGGGGAAGCAGATACATACATACATACATCATCTAAACCGCTTGTCCTTCTGGGTCGCAGTGGGGTGCTGGAGCCTATCTCAGCTGTCATTGGGCGGAGGGCAGGATACACCCTGGACAGGTCGCCAGTCCATCGCAGGGCAGACAGACAGACATACACATTCACACACACACCTAGGGGCAATTTAGCATGTCCAATCAGCCTGACTGCATGTCTTTGGACTGTGGGAGGAAACCGGAGTACCCGGAGGAAACCCACGCAGACACGGGGAGAACAGGCAAACTCCACACAGAAATGACCCTGGTCGCCCGGCTGGGAATCGAACCCAGGCCATTCTTACTGTGAGGTGACAGCGCTACCCACTGCGCCACCGTGCCGCCCTGGGAAGCAGATAAACAGTGAAAAATTTATCTTCAGGGACCCCCAGAATTTTGATTGAGACATTTGGGGGTCCAAGAGGTGAATTAGGGGGTTCCGGACCCCCCAGGACAATCTTGCCTAGCTAGCTACTGAAATGGCAAAGAAGAGAAAGATTTAAGACAAACATGTTCGGACTGCCAGCACAAATCAGATTTTTGTCATATCCAGATTGATTGTTGACAGCAAAAAAACACATGAAATTATTTTTCAAATCGGATCCAAACCACATTTGGAGGTGGTTTGAAATGCGACTCCAGTCAGAGTTTTACAGATGTGTCTCAGTCTGGACACTCAAATCAGATTTCAAAGCATATTTTTGCATCACTTGCAACACGACAAACAGCGACGATGTCGAATCCGGAGTGATGAAGTGCTGGGATTGAAGAAGAGCTCCAAAGATTCATGATGAAGAGAGAGTTCTGAGGAGTTTGGAGGGGAGGTGATGCTCCTCCATCTCTCCTGCAGCCACGTTTGAAATACGCGTCACCAGCGTAGCTACGTAGTTACTGACGCCTACGTCGTTACCACGGCAACCCATGCAGACTGGTGATGTCTGGACACACAAATCTGATCTGATCACTTGCAAATTAAAAGATCTGATTTGAGATCACAAATCACACAAATCACAAATCTGATTCGCCTGCAGTCTGAACAGTCAAAGAATCTGCAGACTCACCTCCAAAGTTCAGTCTTAGAAGCTGGTTGATCATTTTCTGAAGTAATCAAACACATTCAGTGGTGTTGAGGTCTGGACTCTGGGGTGGTCAGTCCATCGTTCAGCTTCTTTGTTTGATGTGTCCGTCTCCTTTTCTCAGTGAGGTTCTTCTTGATCAGCTACACATCCTTTCAGACCCACAGCGCTGAGTCGTCTTCTCACAGTGGAAGGATGGACAGAAACACCTGTGGATGTTTTCAGATCTGATCAGCTTGATTTTCTCCTCTCTCTCAGAGATGAAAGCTTTAAGTGCTGTTTATCTGATGGGGGCAGTTTTGGGGTCGACCAGCTCTTCCAGGTGGTTGTTAGGAGACACTAATAATCAATAATAGATGGAGGGTGGCCTCTGACCTTTGCGCAGTGCTGTATTTTCCTCCCCTGCGTCTGATACGGATGGATATGTACCTTTATTTTTGCTTGTTTTCACAGTGTGGCCTTCTTCCCTTTGCACATCGGAGATCATGTGTTCATAGAGGAGGACTGTGTGGTGAACGCAGCTCAGATTGGATCATACGTTCATATCGGCAAAAACTGCGTCATCGTACGTACATAATAATAAGTCATACCTCAGTCAGAATATGAGAACTGCAGCTGGGTTACTGCGTTCTAACTGAGGTCTGTATGTTTCAGGGTCGGCGCTGTGTTCTGAAGGACTGCTGTAAGATTCTAGATAACACAGTTCTGCCCCCGGAGACGGTGGTCCCTCCGTTTACAGTGTTCTCCGGATGTCCAGGTTGGTCCTTTCAGATGTTTTCGGCTCCTTTATGGCTCCAAACTGCAGTTGTGATGTGCCTGTACAGCATTAGCAGCACTAAAACATCATATAACCTAAACTAAAATAATCAGGTTAGACAGATTATATTAAAATCACTTCACTGTAGAAAGTCAGTGAACCAAAAGTGGGGAAACCAGTGATGCAGTTTTCAGTTAAGATTAATTATTTAAGGCCTGTTGACCAAAATATTTTGTGCCTGTTCTCAAGTTTGGTCTTTGTGTCACAATGAAAATAATCACTATAATTTAAATAGCACACAAACCGTGCGCTGTCTCTCCAGCATGGATGTGTCTGAATCCCAAACGGCTCTTTGTTAGGTATGTTAAGTGCTGTCTGTGGGCAGGAGGCTGTACTTCAGCTCCTACGTAGTGCACTATGTAGGGAGATTCGACCCCAGTCGACCCCGGTCCCAGAGGGACGTTAGCTTGGTGCTTTCTTCATTAAACAGTGCTGTGTTTATTATTAAATAACAGAAAGTTTATGAATTGTCGTCGTTGAGCAGACCAGTCTGGGCAGCAGTCCCAAACTCTACGGCAGCTGTCACCTGGAGACCTACGCTCCTGTAGATAACAATAACTAGATCAGGTGGGAATGAAAGAGTTAAACTCTGCAGGAAGGCAGATCTCCAGGAACCAGAGCTCTTAGGGAACTACATTTCTTGGTGGAACAGTTGTTTATCTCAATTATTATTTAAAAATAACAAATTATACATTAAAAATTTAGTGTTTCAGCATCTTTTGTGTTGCCTTCTGTTTTCTTTAAGTAATAAGCCACTTTGGGCCGTGTGTTACAGTGATGTTATCACTGGTAAGGGGTTTTACTAATAACAAAAAAAGTGTTTAAAGGCTCATTTATGCTAAATGTTAAATATATATATATATATATATATATATATATATATATATATATATATATATACACACGAATAGCCTTCTGTCCGCACTCTGCGTTCATTTCATCCAGATTTGTGCTCGTTCTCTGAAAGCTTATTAATTATTATTAAGTGACCCTTATTAGTCCCACAACGGGAAAATTTCATCTCCGCATTTTGACCCGTCTGTGCAGTGAAACACCACATACACACTAGTGAACACACACACACTAGGGGGCAGTGAGCACACAGCCCTATCTGCAGCGCCCAGGGTTGGGGGTTAGGTGTCTTGAGTCTTGAGGCACTTCAGTCACGTACTGTCGGCTCAGGGGATCAAACCGGCGACCTTCCGGTCACAGAGCTGGTTCCCTACAACTGCCTCCATGGATACTGATGAAACGGAGCAGTTCCACCGGAAGCGATGGGGGGGCAGCGTAGCCATTAACTCAAACAAGACACAATGCCAGTTTCTCTCATTGGTAATGAGTATTTAACATCCTCACAGACACCAGAGTCTACAGCGCCGCCTCTTCAGGCTCTCTCATAGTCATGCATTATAATGGCCCCTCTACCACCTGCTTGTTGTTGTCAGACACGTTTTACTCTGGACTGCCCTCTAGTGGATGTACTGCTTAACATTCATGCCAATGTAAGGACGCATGGACGTATGAGGGCCGTGGCGGTTACGTCGATTAAAACGGACGTGTTCTTTTTCGTAGGTAAAGGAAGAATAAATGAGCCTTTATAATCACTGTAACGGCCTCTCGTGAGTTACTGCTTTAATAAAAGTTCGCACAGCGGCTGATCGATCTTCCTCTTTTTCAGGGTTGTTTTCGGGAGAGCTGCCCGAGTGCACGCAGGAGATGATGATCGACGTGACCAAAAGCTACTACCAGAAATTCCTTCCTTTAAGCCAGATATAATCACCGACTCTCTCAGACCAAACTGGACATTATGTTTCATTTACATTCACCCTTTATTTACTGCAGCAGAATGAAGGATGCGCTGAACGTGTTTGTCTGATGGTCTTTAGTTCCAGCCAGGAAAACAGCACTTCTTTTTATTTATTAAAGCATAAAGAGTGTAATTAAAAACTAAACCGTAATGCACAGGGTTCCTCTGCTGAGCGCTGTTCCTGTACTGATCTACTGCGTCTGTCACCAGACCGACTATCACAAGACCCAGGAATCTTCCCTCGGCGGCCTGAGGTCAGCTGGGCTTCAGTGAAAGCCTGTGTTTGTTGTCATGTTTAGTTTCTGCGACACTAAATGTTTTCTGTGTTCTAATAAATAACCACAGACTGTAAATGATGATACTGTTATTTATTTATTTTAAAAAGATGGTTCCTCGGTAAAGAAAGCGGTTCTATATAGAACCATGAAGACGCAGTTAACACTGATTAAAGGGTTCTTTGCATGGTGGTTCTTTAAGTGTTCATGGTTCTATATAGAACCATTTTCTGTGTGTAGTGTGTAGGTTGTAAAGTACAGTACAGTTCAGTCACCACCAAATAACCAGACTAACATGAGGAGGGTTACTGATCAGTGTTACAGTTAAAGAGGAATTCTGGCCTAAAACTAGAGTTGAATATGCTTTTCATATATAATATAACACTCAGTAGTGCAGCGTTAGATCAGTCAGCCTCAGCGCTTCACACAATTCACCATTTTACTTTTTTTTTTTCACTACAATACCCAGCATGCATTACATAAACACTGTAAAATGGTGACAATACCTTAAATATAGTCAATATGTCATGTTTCTCATTTCGAGACTGTTGTAAGCGTATTATAAGATCATTTTACTTATTTCTAGACATTTTTTCATGTTTTAAGTGGTTTTAGTGAGTCAAATTCTCACTATATTGGTAGGTAATTTGGCTCATTTCAAGCTAAATGATCTGCCAGTATAATTAAGATTAAGATCACTGGAGAGAAATAAACGCACTGCTGTGTAATGAACTAAAAGACAGACGTGAGGTTCAGTTTCCCAGCAGTAACGTTCGGAAAAAAAGAACTTTCCAGCCTCAAAAATCGACTCAAAAGCCTTTTTATTCAGAAGTTCCTCCCACCTTCAAGATGCATCATCAGAAGGGTTTGTTTCTCTAGGGATGCAAATAAGCTTGTTTACAACAGACGCAGTGATGGTAATGCAGTGATTCAGGCCGGAGCAGCTCTTTGAGCAGCACTGCAGCGCAGTTTAACCACCCTCAGTTAACAATGAACATTAATGAATTAAAGCCTCGCACTCGGTTTGGAGTCGGGCAGATCTGGAGAGGAAGAATCATCACACAGGAGCATTTGTGCAAAATGTAACTGCACATTTCCTGAGTTCTTTTAAAATCAGAGCTAACAGTAAATTAATTAATACAAAACATAAAAACACGATTAAAATGTTTGGTTGTAAACAGATGAACTTAAAAATCAATAAACCTTTCATACGATGAACAACGGAGGGTCTGTCCTTCAAGAACAAGAACAATATTCAGGGTTCTGGGTGGCTGCTACTGTTACTAGCTGCACCCTTAACCCTGAGCACTCAAGGAACCATCTGCATGATTAAAGGGCTCTTCAGATTGATGGAGAATGTGGTGAAGATGGTTCTATGGAGAATCTTTTTTTTTTAAAAAGGGTTCTTCTACTGTTACAATGTCAAGCTTGTAACAATAGCGGAACCCTTTTTGGTGCTGTATAGAACCTCATACAACACCTTCTCCATCAATCTGAAGAACCATTTCATGAAGAAAAGAATAATGTAAAGGGTTCTTTGAGTCTTCATGGTTCTATGTACAACCATGTACTAAAGAGCCCTTGAAGAACCATGTTCTTTAGGTTTGTATGCTAACATACTTCAGTGCATGTGATGCTTTATAGGCGTGTCTAGTTTATAAACATCTGGGCTTTTTCGGTGAACTATGGCCGTAAAGTTGACGGGACAGAGTGGCCGATTAGCTGTGATCAGATCAGACCAGCAGTTCATGAATCCACTTCAACTCAGTATTAGAGCTGCAACAATTAATCGATTCATTGTTTAATTGTCGATTATTGAATTAATCGCCAACTATTCTGGTGATCAATTAATCGGTTTGAGTGATTTAAAAAAAAAAAAAAAAACTAAGATTTCTCTGATTCCTGCTTCTTAAATTTGAATATTTTGTGGTTTCTTTACTCCTCTGTGACACCAAACTGAGTGGACAAAATAAAAGACATTTGAGGTCATCCTCGGGCTTTGGAAAACACTGACTGCCATTGTTCACCATTTTCTGACATTTTATAGACCAAACGACTAATCGATTAATCGAGAAAAGAATCGCCAGATTAATCGACAATGAAAATAATCGTTAGCTGCAGCCCTACTGAGTATAGATGAGCTTTAACAGGGACTCAATCTGACCTCCACACATCAGACTGGGTCTAAATATTCTGAGCTGGGCAATATGACCATCATTATCATCACATCACAATGTGTCACAATATGCTCTTCTTTTGATTGTAAAGAGCCGTCAGTCCTGTTCGATCGGATTCAGTGCAGCTCAGAGTGTGAAATGTTAAACAGTAATTGTGTTTATAGTTTATGATATCGTTTATAAAACATGGCGCTACTTCATCTGTTTCAGCTGATCAGATGTCATATCGTCGCTGTCCAATAAAAAACGTATCTCCATTTTCTGGGATTTTTACTTTTCTGCATCATTTGAGCTCAGCAGCCGTCCTTCACACTGTGAAAACGTCATGATGATTGGACCGATAGAAATGTTCAAAAATTGCTTAGAATAAAATCTTTTTCCATTTTCCTTTTTCAAATAAATAAATAACAGTATCAGCATCATTTACAGTCTGTGGTTATTTATTAGAACACTTACTCAAAGTAAAGAACGTTTTTGGCTTCTCCTGTAAAGTTAGTGTTCTGGAGATGCTTGTTTTTCTTTGGACAGTGACGATACGCATCGCAAAAACGTCCTGAAGTATTGCGATGTGACAGTTTGCCGTATCGCCCAGCTCTAATTGTGCTGTCGTCCAGATTTGAGGCTCTGTCTGCACGAGCTCAACATCAGCAGAGCTGAGTTTAAGCTGAAGTTAGCAATCTAGCTGCTACGTAGCTGCAATACTCTGTGCTGTTTTTAGATATAAAGCACTTCATGGACCTGAAACTAAATAACAAACTGGTCCTGAAAATACAGCTCGGCCAGGTAAAGCTGGTTAAGCATAAAGCATACAGCACGTTTTCAACCGGGTTGGAGGGAAGCTGGTGTACCAGCATGACCACCGTCACCAAACTTAGTCAAGCTAGTAGACCAGCTAAACCATCAAACACAAATCAAAACACAGCCTATGCTAATTCACCAGCTAAACTGGTTTATCAGCTGAACCAACTGGTTGACCACTAGAGTGCATGCTTTCATTTAGTCCAGCTACCAGCAAAAACCAGCTAGCTAGCTTCCAAGCTAAGTAGCTGGCCACTTAGTTAAGTACAGAGAAACAAACCTACTAGCTAGCTATTAAACATTCCCTCACATTTAACAGGCTGCACCTCCACATGGGGGCGCTATCAGCACTCGCAGCTTTTGTGTGCATTACTGAAAGGGAGGAAACCCACACCAGCAGGATCACATGAATGCACGTATGTCTGGAGTCACAAATCTGTGTATATATGAAGTTAAAAGCTGAAATAGCCCTGCAGGACACATTCAACGCTGTTAACCGATGCTACGACACTGTTCTTACACAAGTTCCTTGCAATTCCATATTTCCACCACAGAGGGCGCCAAATCTCCAAACTTACGATTCTGCTGTAAGCAGGTATGATAATATAAATATGACTATGATATGAACATCGCTGGATCCTCAGTCCACAGGCCACTCTGAGAGCCACTGCTGGCACTGGACCTTCGTCTCCTCGGTCTCCTCTGGTCTGATTCTCTCCTCCCCCGAACGATCCTCTGAGCTCTCGGCCTCCTCGGCTAGCGGCCTCGCTAAAATGTCCTCCACCACGCTCTCCACAGTCCTCACCCGTCTCTGCGGGGTCCATTTGGGGTCGACGCTGGGCAGGAAGGGGTCCGGGGCCGTGACCTGGAGGGGTTCGCCTTCCAGAGGGATGCGCAGCAGGTACGCGTGGAGCATCATGCGGTACGGGCTGCTGTCCGAGCCCAGGCTGTAGGTGTAGTCGCCCACTATGGGGTGACCAATGGAGGTGCAGTGGACACGGAGCTGATGGGTTCGTCCTGCCAGAGAAAACGCGTATTTAAATATTCATTAAGTCATTTCTTGATTTCTGATTTGATCCTAAAATGATAATTTAGAAATATTTATATCAGTGTTTGGTTTGGAGTCAGTTCAGTTATGAGTCCAGTCAAAGAAAGAAGAATTACATTAATAAG